TTTTTTTTTTTTTTTTTTTTTTTTTTTTTTTTTTTTTTTTTTTATGCTTTTGTATGCAAACAAAGTTCCGATTAGTTTTCTATGGCTGAATTTCTTTATTCATTCTGAACGTTTGGAATAAACTTTTTTGTTTACTTATTCTTTAGAACGTTCCTGATGATATGTTAACGTATATTTCAAACGTATTATGTTTATTCCGGCTGTGAAATGGGATTATCCGGAATGTATAAAGAAACGCAGCCTATAAAATCAAGCTGCCTTTAAGGTATTCCAAAATTCTTTCTACTACCGTCGAAACGGTTCATATGCGAAGTCTTGTGTGTAGGCGTGCCAAACACGCCTATTAAACACAGCGCAATCCTTGTACAAATCTCTTTTGAGGTTTGGCTCTACGTTTTTATGTTAGTACATATGTAAATGATCATTTATGTGCTGAAGATTACTTCACAAAATTGTCTCTTGAACGCATGCAGTCTACAGCCGGAATTCGATAATTTTGTTTGATTTCGGATACTGAAACATTTCACTTACTGATTAACTACAGTATTCAAAGAGTTTCCCAAGATCATTCAACATTAAAGCTTAAAAAATTGGTAAATGAGAAAGGATAACAGTCGGGGATTTGTTTGACTCTTGATTTCGTTATCGAATTTTGATTGTGACTTCATGTTCCAAATCTCTGCGAAGGAATCTTACGACTCCATGATATTTGTAAAACACGCATATGCGTTTCGGTTTTGCGGTATTTTGTTGGTTGATGACTTGTAAGACATGATGTTATATGTATTACATAAGTATTTATGTAGGCCAATGCAGTGTGTAGCAGACTGCATATTTTTGTTGCGGGTTTGGTAGTGGAACTGATAGGTATATGAGAAGGGGGATTCGCGATGGTTTTTACGACGACGTAGATGATGAGACAGAGTTGCTGGGTTGTTCCTCATCCTGTTCTCTATATGGCGGCAATAAGACCAGTTTTACTAATGGCCTTGTGACTTGCCCTCTTTCGGTCATGACCTCAACGACTCGTACGCGGTTATCTGAGCCTGGGTGTAGGTTAACGATTCTACCTAATCTCCACTCGTTAGGTGGTAGGTTGTCCTCCTTAATAACGACGAGGTCTCCATTTTTCAAGTTGGCTTGTGGGTATTTCCACTTATTGCGCTTTTGGAGCTCCGACAGGTATTCTGTCTTCCACCTCTTGCAGAACGTATGGTGTAGAGCCTTCAGTCTTTGCCAACGATTCACAATCGACGCACGGTGTTCATCAGCGTCGATTTCAGGAGGAGCAAGAAGGTGCCCGCCGACTAAGAAGTGACCTGGAGTAAGTGGCTCTAAGTTTGAGGGTTGGTTTGAAGAGGGACTGAGGGGTCGCGAGTTGAGGCATGACTCAACTCTGCATAGAAGGGTCGTAAATTCTTCGAATGTATATTTATAGTTTGAAGCGATTTTTGTGAAGTGGCATTTAAAACTTTTGACTCCCGCCTCCCACAATCCACCCATGTGGGGAGCTGCGGCGGGAATGAAATGCCATGTAAGCATTTGATGGGTGTATTTTGTTATGGTGTTATTGCGGGCTTCGGCCATAAAGGCTTTGAATTCTGATCTTAGCGATCGCGAAGCTCCGACAAAGTTGGTACCGTTGTCGGAGTAGACATTTTTTGGGCACCCTCGCCTCCCCACGAATCTTGCAAATGCTGCCAAGAATGACTGTGTGCTTAAATCAGAGGTGGCTTCCAAATGGATCGCCTTGGTTGCAAAGCACACAAACAAACATACGTACCCCTTAGACACCCTGCAACCTCGTCCGTTGTAGTTCTTTATGTCGAAAGGTCCGGTGAAGTCGACACCTGTGTTAGTAAACGCGCGTGAAAATGTGGTGCGTTCTTTAGGAAGAATGCCCATAAGCTGCGTTTGCGACCGTTTTCGGTAGATCGTACAGATCTTACAGTTGTGAATTGTCGATTTGATCATATTCTGGACTCGAGGTATCCAATATTGCGTTCTAATCAAGCGCAGCATAAGCTGATTCTCACCATGCAGTGATACTTTGTGAACGAACTGGACTATAAGACGAGACAAGTTGCTATTATATGGAAGGATAATTGGGTGGCGCTCGTTATAAGCGAGATCTAAAGATTTTCCAAGGCGACCACCTGTCCTAATTATATTTTCCTTGTCAATGTATGGGTTCAGGGACAAGATTTCACTTTTTGGACTTATTAATTTTGCCGATCTCAGTGATGAGTACTCCTGACCATAATGCTGCTTCTGGCAGATAATTATTAAGCGTTGAGTCGTTGCTTTGATTTCATCAGCTGAAATCGAACAAGATTCCGCTTGAAATGAAGCTCTAGTGTTACGGCGAGTTCTTTGGGAGAATCTCAGTACGTATGATAGGACTCTCAAAGCTCTCGGTAGATCGGAAAATCTTTCAAGAATATCATTACTAATATCGACTGCCGTGGTCGCATGAACCTGTACCCTTTTTTGTTCTAACTGTGTCTTATAGTCCTTTTCCTGTGTGGGCCATTGTGTTCTTTCTTCTTGCAACCAAGAAGGACCCTCCCACCACAAGGAAGAGGCTACCAATTCTTGCGCAATAATACCCCTGCTAGCTAAATCTGATGGATTTGATGCTGAATCCACATGGAGCCAATTTTGGCTTCCAACTTTCTCAATGATTTTTGTTACGCGATGGGCAACAAATGTTGACCATGAGCAGGGAGGTTTTCGAATCCAGGCTAGGACAATAGTCGAATCTGTCCACAGATGTGTGGTAAACTGGCCTAAAGTGAGATTGCTAACGATCGATTCAACAAGTTCTGCAAGCAGAACAGCACCGCACAGCTCCAATCGTGGTAACGAAATAGTTTTGACCGGTGCCACTCTGGACTTAGCCAGTAGAAGATTGACAAATACCTTTTCCGCTTTTTGAACCCGAAGAAAAATAGTGGCTGCGTATGCCTTTTCTGAGGCATCGCAGAAGCCATGAAGTTCTATTTTATCTGTAGGAGAAAAGTATACCCAACGAGGAATACGAATTTTGTCGATGTGGCAGTAGCTCTCTACAAAGTTTTGCCAACGATCGGACGATGCAGTTGAGACAATTTCGTCCCAACCTGTTCCTTCCAACCAAATGTCTTGCATTATAATTTTTGCTGTAACTACAAATGGCGCGAGCCATCCTAATGGGTCAAATAATTTTGCAATAGCCGAAAGTATTGCTCTTTTTGTAAAGCGAACCTCAGTCTCCAATGGCTTGGCAGTAAAATAAAACTTATCAGAATGGGCATTCCATCTGATGCCCAACGCCTTGACGGTACTGGTGTCCTCAAAATCCAAAAAATCTTCGTTTAAAAGGTGTGATTTGGGTAATCCTTCCAGTATTTTTTCGCAGTTGGATGTCCATTTTCGTAGCGGGAATCCAGCAGATTGTAAAACCATTGATACCTCGTCTTTAGCTTTGATGGTAGATTCGATGGTATGTCCTCCTGCTAAAACATCGTCGACATACATACATTTTTTCAATATATCTGAAGCTACAGGATATAGACTCTCTACATCGTCAGCTAATTGAAGTAGGGTTCTAATTGCTAAGTAAGGTGCGCAATTAACACCGAAGGTAACCGTGTTCAGTTCATATAAATTAATTGGTTCGCTTGAGCTTTTTCTGAAAACAATACGTTGATATTTGGTTTGATCAGGGTTTAATAAAATTTGGCGATACATCTTTTCGATGTCGCTGTTAAACACATATTGAAATAGTCTCCACCGTAATATTAAAATTGTCAAGTCACTTTGCAGGACTGGACCTGGGTGGAGGATGTCGTTGAGACTGACTCCGTTTGCAGTCGGACACGATGCGTTAAAGACTACTCGCACTTTGGTGGTAGTGCTTTCCTCTTTCCTGACAGCATGATGAGGTAGGAAGTAGTTCTCACATTCGTCTCCAGGAATATGTTCAGGAATCCGAGTCATGTGGCCCAATGTCTCGTATTCAGACAAGACCCTATTGTATTCTGATTGTAAAGGTGGATCCTTTGCTAAACGCGTTTCACTTCGAAAAAATTGTGAGCAAGCGATCTTAAGTGACGGACCTAATCGTACGTTAGTTGGAAAATCCTGTTTGAACGGCAGTGACACAATATATTTGCCTGCTTTATTCCGTTTAGTAGTGCTTTTATAAAGTTCCTCGCAATAGGTTTCATCTTTGTTGTAAGTCTTATTTCTTGGGATATCTTCCAATTCCCAAAAGGACGCTAAGCGTTTGTCTAAATTTATTTCGCTAAAAAATGATACGCACTTATTCGCTGGGGTACTTGTGTCAGTTTGACCGGTGAGAATCCAGCCGAAGACGGTTTCCTGAGCAAGAAGAGTTCCCAGTACGTCTTTCCTTATACCGCCTAGCATTATTTGTGCGTAAATATCTCCACCGAGGACAAGATCAACTTGCTCACTTACAAAAAATCTCTTGTCTGCTAAAACTAACTCTGGAAACGCTTGCTTAGTCCTAGCATCGATTTCGCAAGTCGGTAGATTTCCAGTTAATTGTGGTAATACTAACACGGTGGTATCTATATTGATCAGTGGGTCAATTGGTGACCGCAGTTGTATAAAACACGCCTCTTTTACTTGAGCTGAGACTGTGTTATTTATTCCAGATACTTGAGCTTGTATCCTCCTCGAGGGCAGATTAATCCTACGCTTAAGTCTTTCAGTAATGAAAGAGCACTCCGATCCGGAATCTATTAGAGCGCGGGCCGAAAAATTTGTATTATTAAAATATATATTGACTCGGGCGGTCCCTAATAGAATTCCTATGTTGGTATTAGCAAAGCAGGATTGGACATTTTGGGTTGGTCCTTTGTTTGCTTTGGAAGCATCGTGTCTTGCCTGAGCTTGAGCAGAAGTTGACGCGATGTTCTCTAACCCATCGGATACGTTTGTTTGATGCCTTTGGTTCATAGTTGCTTTTGGCTGAAATGCTTGAATGTGAAGGAGCGTGTGGTGTCTTTGGTGACAGACGCTGCAATTAAATGAGCATGTACACCTAGTCACAGTATGTCCAGAAGATAAGCAATTCAAGCAACCATGATTATTTTTAATGAAGGCGATTCTGTCTGCCGTTGTTATTTTAAGAAATTTTTGGCATTTTGACAGTTTGTGATTATTGCCTTTACAAAATTTGCACAGAATCTTGGCTACGCTTGCTTGGTAGGCCCCGTGCCTTTTCTGAGTTTCATTGTTTTTGCTATTTTGGGGCTTTGAAAATCGAGGGTGTTTTACAGCTTTAATATCTGATATTGTTTCAAGTGTTTGAAACCTATTAGAGAGGAATTTATCCATATCCTCCCACTTGGCAATTTCGGTTTTATTTTCAATTGTTTGTTCCCAAAGAGCCAACGTACTCTCTGGCAATTTCGTGGAGCAGAGATATGTAACGATGGCGTCCCAATTGGATACGTCAATTTGATGACATCGCAAAGCCGATAAACAATTATTAATATTTCGCTGTAACTTTTTTAATGAAGTACCGCACTCACTTTCTACTGACTCTAGGTTAAAAAGAATCTTTATCTGCGAATTCACTAGAATGCGTTTATTCTCGAACCTATCACAAAGGTTTTTCCATGCAGTATTGAAGCCCTCGTTTGTAACATCACATTTGCTAACTATCTCTTTGGCCTCCCCCTGAGTTTTCTGGTTCAAATGAAACAACTTTTCTACAGGAGTGAGGCGCTTATTATTGATATAAATGGCCGTAAACATGTCACGGAATGTAGGCCACGAGAGATAATCACCTTTGAACACATCCGTATCACACGGTGGGAGATGGATGTTGTGTTCTCTGGCCGACATATCCTCGGTATCTTTGTCACTTTTGACGAGCTTCGCATGGAGTTCTGCCATGTTCGACATGCAGCGCAGATAAGTAGAATAGGTACTTTTATACTTAGCCTTCACTGAGGCTGATTTTGCTTCTACCGCACCTGAACTCAAATACTCTTCGTACGCTATCTTTGCTTTCCTCCACATGGCTTTCAGTTCCTCTTGCTGGATGGCAAGAGTGTATTTTGTGTGCTCCGTTTCAGTCATGCTATTGTAGTCGGCCTCAAACTCAGGCACAACATCAGCTAATCGGATAAATGTTTCCATTTTTAAGATCCTAATGAAAATAAGTTACGAGAGCACTTCGAAAATTATAACTTTCCCAAAGTTTTAAGCGAATAAACCACCACAATCAAATAAGTTAACACCGCAATTTAGGTGCAATTTCGCACGGATATCAAATTATTTATTAAATATCAAGCGTAATATATGTATGTAAATATATGTATTTATGTATACTCGCGCACACTAATGAAAATCTTCTAAGATTACAGGAACTGATACTCGCCACCCAACTCTCAGCGAAATATTTGTGTATAAATGTGAAATAATTCAACTGTGCTACGCATATATTATTTTTGTTGATTAATCGTTCAAAGTGATCTTGTGGATGCAGAATTGCAGAAGTTAAAAAGTGTCCCAATGTGAAACCAAATGTGTGTAACAAGTGCAGTCACAAGTGAGGTTATGTATCCTCAACTCAGTGAATTGTTGTTAGTGCCGATGATTTGACCAATTAACAAATGCTTGCAACACGATTGTTTGAAAATATTGAAAGCAAACTCGATGTGAAAAATAATAAAATCGATGTTTTGCAAATTTGAAATAAGTGATTTTGAAAACACGAAACTAAATATAATAAAAAAACAAAAAAAACTTGTAAAAAGTGTGCTCGCTATAAATTAAGGTTACACTAACAACTGAGGTAGTGTTAAGCACAGAAAAATCTACTCTAACCCACACTTGTGTATTGCTGCAGATATTTGTTCACAACGTTATTTACTAATTAAGTGCGACAGAACACAAAAAGTGATATCAATGCACTGATGATTTCCACAAGATCACTCGCGATAATTTTGGATATGCGCAGGTTTTTGGTATTTTAAATATTTGCCGTATTACGTATACGAGAATGTGCAAGAAATTTGAAATGTCAACCACATACCTTCAAAACTCCTGAATGTTTTTTAATGTGGTGCTGGTGCTTAATTTGGGTGTTGTGTACTGATGTGGTACGTTCCCGACTTATTGTAACTTCACGCTGGTGTTTGTGGCAATTCTCCAGTTGATGCTGGCGGAGATGGCAGATGTAATAATCTGGAGACCGCTAGTGACCCTTGACCGCTGGTATTCAAAGAATGGCGCCTTTGTTTAGCTGCAGTGGACTGTATTTGCTTTGCTCTGGTTAATTATAGTTCCTGGCGAAGATGGACCATGAAAAACCCTGGCGACTTAATGAGTATAGACTCGATAAATGCACCA